AAATCTTTGAGAAACACTGGGGTTTCCTTGTCATCTGCACACGCCGATAAAGAGTCAATGGGTAAAATACTTTAATTTAAATATAATTCTTATTTAGATGTCAAATGTAAATCGTGACACAAAGCATCAAGCACTCAGCCATTCCACGCTACTCGGGAATTTTTGTAGCGTCCGTTACAATCAAAAATTGTGAGTTAAAGCTACCGTAAATAAATTAAATACCATTACAATAGTTACTATTGCAAACATGTTTATTAAGCTTGTAATTAGGCTTAAGCTTATAAGCATCATAATTACGGTAGTTTTACTCACAATTTTTTATTGTAACGTACGCCACAAAAATTCCCGAGTAACGTGGAATGACTGTACTACTCATTTTCCACATGCATGGATTTCCTGGCTTCAATAAAATTTACGGTTTTCACTTGTCACAGCCTGAATTATAGATTGCCTTCCTTCCTTCCTTCCTCCCGTAGAAGATGAACAATAAATATTTTTGACGTAATTGTCACCATTAACATTTTCCGTGTAAGAATTTTTAATACTTTGTGATATTTTGCAATAATAGTAATAAAAAAAATCAAAGGATAAAATATTTTCTTAACACAATCATATTTTGAAGTTATTTTAATATTTTAAAGTATCAATAATTGTTAAGTTTAATTAAAATTAATAACGGGCAATGTTAATGGTGACAATTACGTCAAAAATGTTTATTCAAATCGTAGTGCCATTTATAGATTCTCGTAAGGACGGCATTCCTTCCTCCCGTAGAAATTTTTAAGTTTTATCTTTCACCGTTTGACATGACCAATCACAGTGCTTGTTATGGACATGCGTTGTATACCCTATAGGGTGACAGCGCGTAGGCACAAAATATTTAAAATACATGATTGTTTAGTATTATTTAAGATAGGTTTTCAGTTTATTAAATAATTTGTGTCTCTAAATAGGATATTTAGATATTGTTTATGATCAAGGTCTTTCATTTTTAGAAACGTTGCTTTGTAGTTTCCCGGTCTTGGTAAAGTGGGCGAGTCTTCCAACGTCTTGTTTGATGTTTTTTTTTCATTATACAACAAGCTGCCTGGGCAATTAAAATTGTGATCACTGCACTAATATAAAAATGTTTATGCACGATGACATTATAATATGACAATTATAACAAAAATTCTTTGACGTAAACGTCTTTTTATAGCCCGCGGGCGTTATTATGACCCAGCGGGCTATAATGAAACGTCAAAAATTAAAAACAACAATGTTACAACCATTTGATATATTTGAAGTAAGTTTTTTCGTATAAAGATTTTGATTTTTCCGACAGCAGGCCGCAATTTTTCGCCTTTTCAGCTGCTTCCTCAATTTCATTCATCTTTATACTTTAAAACTGACTGATGTCAGTTGACATTATAATATGACAATTATAACAAAAATTCATTGACGTAAACGTCTTAAAAACAATAATATATTAAAACTAATAATATATTAATCGTGCATAAAGTTTTGTATGTATTGCTGGCATAACTGGTTTTTATGGTCCTACGACGCTTTTTTAGCCCTCGCGCTAACGCGCTCGGGCTCGAAATAGCGCCTCGGGCCATAAAAACCTTATTATGCCCTTAATACATAAATAACTATTATCTTTTATATTTACACACGATGGGTAAAACGCAGAATAAAAACAAAAACAAATGTCAAGCATTTTAGGTCTCATCGCGCATGGTTACGGAATTTTACAGGGAAATCTATAAATTGACTTTTTACAAGACGCACAAATCGTACGGGCGCGACTACGGGAGGAAGGAAGGAAGACAATCTATAATTCAGGCTTTAATGTTGATACCCGAATTTTTATTTTAGTGGCGCGCCAATTTTTATTGTCGCCAGTAAATCCATGCAGTTGACTCGCCGTTACAGCCTGTAACATGTAAATAATTTTTTCAGTTTATGCATAAAATGCAGGGACCAAAGAAAATACCCCCATAGATTGGAAACTCCACATGTGGAAGTATGTGGGAAACTCTCCCACCATTGCCCTTTAGAGCTACAATACCTAAACTTGTAAATTGTAGACATCTGTACAAACGTTATTTGCAAATGTCAATGTCAATCATAATTATTATTATTAATATTATTGATGTCGATCATAATCCTAGGTCTAGGATCATAATTTTTGAAATATTAAACACATTTTTGCGCCTTAAAAGTTATACAACGTGTTAATGGTTGTGAAATGTGTTGTTGTTGGGTGCGGAAATGTAACCAATTTGTAAGTATTGACTATCCTGCCGTCCTAAGCCAAAAAGACTCATCTCGTTATTATTATTTTTTCTCTTAGCAAAAAAGACGAATTTTAACTATACATAAGTACATTTTTAAGTTCTATATAGCTCTTAAATATTGCAAATTAAATTAAACGTATCTTATGAAAAAAACAATAAAGCGCTATAATTTATAAAGTAAAAATGTGGAGTTGCTTCTTTTTGGCTTGTGTAATGGTAATTTAGTCCAGGTTTTTCCAAAACCAAGTGTTGGCAAGATGGATTTTTCACGGTTGGTTAACCCAATTTGAACTTGCCAAAAGTCCATACTCAAAAGCCTTGTACAAATTCCTATATGTTAAGTTTAAAATCGTATAAGGAGCCTGGATTAAATTATCAAATTTTACAATATTCTCTTATTATTAAAGAATTAAGACTAATATTTTTTAGGTTTGCACTCCCCAACCAAAAACATATTCATGTATACCGATTTAATATGTACATTAGGGTGTCCCTTATTTTTACCCTCTAATTATATTTATTACTTGTTTATATCCTCCCAGTAAAAATTTCAGCTCATTCTATAAACGGGAACCCGTGCCGACTTGCATCTGAACCCTCCGTTAGCCAACGTTAGGCGCGCGGTATTTTGTAACACGAAACACTTTAAAAAGAAGATATACTTCATGACTGTATTTTTCTAATGATTTTATTAAATATGATTACTAATTAATATTATTGCTTTTGTTTCTATCATTTGTTTCACTAATTTAGTTGATTTTATCCCTTAAATATATTAATATACTAATGAGTATATGAGTATATGAGTATACTAAAATATACTGTTATATGAAATTTCAGCTTTTTATAAGCATTTCTATTCTTGATGTCCTCCCAAAAATATTTCAGACAGTTCAATAAGTTTTCGGTAGTCATCTCTCACAATAGACTCTTTTAGTTATTTAGAGTAAAACCCTTTAAGTTTATCAATTTCAGAGTTTAAGGCCTATTCACCAGACCCTTCCGGGTAACTAGCCACTCCCTGTGAAAATATACATTTTTATCAAAGTATACACATAAATAAAACTATATTTTAACATTTGTCAATAATTTATAATATAAGAGTCACATAATAACAAACACAAAATGACTTACGATCGAAAACCTCGCGACCAACCGTGTTACAAAATACCGCGCGCCTAACGTTGGCTAACGGAGGGTTCAGATGCAAGTCGGCACGGGTTCCCGTTTATAGAATGAGCTGAAATTTTTACTGGAAGTATATAAACACGTAATAAATATAATTAGAGGGTATGCGTAAAAAAATAAAAATAAGGGACACCCTAATGTACATATAGATGTATGTATTTTATTTTATATTATATTATTACTACAATAAATAAATATTGTATTCATACTTGTTTTATTTAAAATACAGCAGTAAATACAATATATAAAGGCACCCACGAAGCATTAAAATTAAAATACGGCGCCATATATGTTACAGAAATCTACTTTGGCATTGCTTGCTTGCATTATTGTAGACATAGATGGCGTTAATTTACTTTAGCCTTTTGCCGTTAGCGCTAGTGCAGTTTCCAATATATGGGGTGTATTATCTTTGGCAGGGACCTCTATTTTCAAAGAAATAATTATATATAATATTATTTATATGTTTATTTTATTAATGTTCTAATTTGATAGAATAAAATACAATAGAGTCAACCCAAATTAAAACACCAAAAATGAATTTAAAAGTGCGCTGCATGATTTTTAATTTTAATGAAAAATTTTGAGGGTGATCTTTTAGGTATAATATATGAAAAACCGTTTCCGTTTTAATTTTTAGTTGCTTTACTTTTAATCCTGAAATCGTGTCATTTTCTTACTCTCTCATAAGAGGCTAAAACTTTATTTCTGTGGCAATTATTGAAATTATTGTAATTTTATTTTACTGCCTAGTAAGTATGTTTTTAATATTAATTATAATTATTATTATCTAATTAGTTCTCACTAAAGATTTGAATTAATTTCCCAATTTTTGTAATTTTTTTTTGGCTCCTGTGCCTATTCTACTAAATCTAGAAAGTTATTTTTTTTCAGGTATCAAGTACTTATATAATAGAAAACGACACCATTATTTTAAAAATTAGCCAATTTTGCCTTTAGAAATCATTATGTTGAGGAAAAAATACAAATCTGAAACTGTCAGGAAATGTAATCCCCACCTTCATCTTTTCAGTCCAGTTAGTCTTGTTTTGTTATTTTATCCATTTAAAAGATATTAATTTTTTAATGGCAGTTAAGAAAGGAAATTGTTAGTTTTATTTATAATTTAAAATTTAGATGGCTTTGACTTCGTCAATTCATATTTGTTGGAGAAGTGTCAGAACTGTCAAAAATATTTGATAGATATTATTTGTGCGTATTTCCCTGGTGAATTTTGTGTATAACATAATGTCATATTACGTTGTATAAAACATTTTTTTTGTTTCAAATTAAATTGTCTGTCAAAATATGTAAAATGATATTTTTGTAAATATAAACCCGACGTTCAATTGTTTTTCTGTTTTCATTATTTTAATCAGATGAAAACAAGACATCAATTTGCTAATATAACCAACTCTAATATATTAATAATAACGGAGTTGGCAATGGTAAGCATATAACTTTGGACACGGTACCTATATACAAAAAGGCGAATGCGCCGGGATTAAACTTTATATTTTCTATTTGTAGATAGTATTCTCTTCGAAGGTGGTATAATTGGTATTCACACTGTTAGACGTTTACAAAAAAGAGATAAATTAATAAGAACATTTGAAAACAACATATTTTCACAATGTCAGTGCCATTTGATTTTGATTAGTGTATATGCAGAGCTCATAGATCATTGCAAGGGAGCAGGTATAAGTAAACAATAAAAATTATATATTAATTTAAAATGTTTTTGTTCTTCTAGATAATCTTGAAAAACTAATGGAATCGAGCCTTAAGTATGCAAAATTATCAATTGAAATCCGAAATTTACCTGAAGCCAAATTACATCTTGATCATGCTATGGAACTATTAGTTGTTAGTATTTTACTTACAATATGAGGCCACATTACGGATTATTTAAAATTTTTAACATTGTTATAAACACGAAAATGTTTTTGAAACTAAGGTCTTACCACGCAATATATATATGGGGTTATTTAAAGAAAAAAAAATGAGGGTTAAAAAAATACTTGTACAGTCGTATGCAAATAAAAAGCGTACAGCCTTAGAATGAGAGGTACTGTACTTGTCAAGTATGGCGAATTAGGTTATAAAAAAACAGTGCCGTAGTTGTAAACCAGTCAGTTTGACAGCTAATTGAATAATGCCTCGTCAGTTATCTGAATTTGAAAAAACTCGCATAATTACAAAAATTGTGTTTCTATAGAAATAAAAGCACGATTTTGAATATTAAACAACCTTGGGAAGAAGAACAATCAATTAAAAGAAAAGTTGGTAAAGGTCGGCCAAGAGTTTCCAATCCTGGACAGGATGCAAATTTATTAAGATATTTAATAAACAATCCTTTTGCAATGGCCAGGGATGCGGTCATTAATACTGCATTTCCTGGCGCTCAATCCACCGCCAGCAGAAGAATACAGGAATCTGAGCTTAGATCTCGTCTGGCTGCGAAAAAAAACTTTACTAACAGAAGAACGGCGCACAGTGGGAGGAATTTCAAAAATCGCGGACAAAATTAGGGACACATTATTTTAAGCCATTTTAAGGTTTATGCGGTGGTAAATTTATGCTAAAATATTAATATTAATAAAATGTTTTAATTATGTACACAAATTCACAAATTTGTTTTAAACAATTTGGAAAAGTTCGGTATTGTCGATCCTCCATTTTCCAAAAACATAAATTAATAAACAAATATATTACGCAATATTACCTAAGCTAAAAATAGAAAAATAAACAAAAAAAACAATAACAATTAAGGAATATTCGAGCTAAATCACTTATATACATTTTTTTCGATACATCTTTTCTTTGTAAATTTCGCATCTTTTGCTTTATTTATATCGACTACTAGAGTGACTTGGTCCAAAAAACCCTATATCGATGTTAAAATAACATTTAAAAGTTGACTTTAAAGCAAAACCGGTTAAATCTACGTTTTTTACCTACTCTCTAAAAATGAATTAGTCAAAAATGACTAATTTAATAGTTATTATTGGCTGCTTTTTTACTTGTACCATAGTTAACCATGGAATATAATAGTATCCCAAAATTTAACATCCAATTCTTATGTAAAATTGTCCCCTGAATCCGAAAATGCCATAAAAAATTATGAAAGTGGAGCAGTTTTTGAAATATAGTCAATTCCATATTAAATGAAAAATTGACTATATCTCAAAAACTGTTTTACTTTTTTAACTTTTGACGATATTTTCGGATTCAGGGGACAATATAAAATTTATCAATAATATCCAGGTTATCGGTTAGATACTTTAAAAGTTTGTTGTGTTTTTCTTTGTTACTAACATTTTTAATAAGTTTATACAACTCCTTATTAGTCGTTGATGACATTTCTACATAAAAAGAAGCAAGTTATTCAAATAAACATGTAATATTTATATTAATATTAATATTATAACTTACCAAATATTATTATAAAGCGTTAATAAACACAAAAACACGATGAGATTGTATGTATGATTGACTTTTACTGGAAACTGACGTTTTAGAACTAGCAAAAGGCAACTATGATGACTTATAAATATTCGACTAATATGATAAATTCATGGACATATTTCATATTCTGCTGGCTAAACAGGCAAAAAAAGGCAGCTTAATTCTTTTGACTTTAAAAAAAGAAAATTTGATGAACGTTCTGGTACCAAATACTTTGCGTCACACCAAGGCACACCTAACGAAATATCTTGTGGTTTGTGAAAGATTTATCTACTTTTAAAGGCGATGGTAAAAGGTTTATAAAAACCGTATTTATGGTAAAATTTGCAATTTTAGACTTTTATATGAAAGAACAAGGATAAGGAATGCAGTAAAATATACCACCATTTCCTTTCATTAATTACGCAAAACAAAAATGGGCTTAAAAAACTTACATACAATTTGCTCTAAAAAACCGACACGAACAATGTGACTTTTTAAGCAAGTTTAAGCGGGCATTTTTTCATAAAAAAATGTATTTCTTTTAAAATCATAATCTATGTGCTTTCTTTTTTTATAACTCGTAATTTAAAATTTACTATGTTGATTTTTACAAAATAGGGTTTTGTCCGCGATTTTTGAAATTCCTCCCAGTGTGCGGCGTCAAGCCAGAGTTATTTTTGCTTTAAATTACATACACCGGAATCCTCAATATTGGCACAACGTTATTTTTACTGACGAAAAGACGTTCCAGTCGACTTACAATGGTCAAATACGTGTATATCGTCCAGCAAATTCCAGATTTGAACTACAGTATACTAACCCACTTGCATCAAGAACTGGGCGTTTCTCTGTCAATATATGGGGCCAAATTTATCCTAACAACAATTTTATATTTCAACAAGATTATTGTCCAATTCACACTGCTAACGCTGTTACCCACTGGTTTCAAACCAATAATGTGGAACTGCTGCCCTGGGCCAGTTATACTCTCTAAAAATTAATTAGTCAAAAATGACTAATTTAATAGTTATAATAATTAGTGACTGCTTTTTCACTTGTATCTTGGTTAACCATGTAATACCATGGTATCCCAAAATTGAACAGCCAATTCTTATGTAAAATTCTCCTCTCAATCCGAAAATACTGTTAAAAATTATGAAAGTGGAGCAGTTTTTGAGATATAGTCAATTCCATATTAAATGGAAAATTGACTATATCTCAAAAACTGTTCTATTTTTTTTTTTAACTTTTGACGATATTTTCGGATTCAGGGGACAATTTTACATAAGAATTGGCTGTTACATTTTGGAATACCATGGTATTCTAAGGTTAACCATGGTACAAGTGAAAAAGAAATTTTGACTAATTTATTTTTAGAGAGTATACTATAGTCCTGATATAAATCCTATCGAAAATATTTGGGGAATTATTGGAAAAAAAGATATGTTTCTTTTAACTTGAGACAGCTCAATATCTCGAGAAATAAGCATTTCACGGAAAAATGTCTTAAATAAAAGGTTAATGTGACCAAAGGGGACATTATTTGGTGCTACCGCTAGCCACCCCCTACCCCTCCTTAAGGGTGAAACGGGGGGTAACTTTGGAAAGTCAAATGGAATGACCCGATTTTTTTCACAGAGTTTGGTAGTACATAAAAAAATGAATAACTTTTATTTGAAAGTTTTTTTCAATTTATCAACAGATGGCGCTGAAATTCAAAATTTCAGAAAAAGGGGTTTCCTTGTAAAATGTATTATTTGAAACGTTTGAAAAACAAAAATTAACATTAAATCAACAATAGTCGGCTCTGAAAACAATTTATAACAAATGTTCGAAATGTCGTCCTTCCATTTCGACACCAAGTGGAGCACCAGCGTCCCTGGTCGGTAAACGTTTGGTGAGGTACCTTAAGCGAACGATTAATCGTACCCTTCTTTATTGACGGTGCATTAAATGGCGAAAAGTACCGGAATTTTCTAGAAAACGATCTGACGGACCTTTTGGAGGATGTACCACTAGCACGGCTCCAAAACATGTGGTACCAGCAAGATGGTTGTCCTGCACATTATTCGACAATTGCTCGAGAGGTGTTGGATCGGGAGTTCAATGGCCGGTGCACCGCGGTGGATCGGTAGACGTGGTCCAGTAATTTGGCCTGCTCGATCACCTGATCTTACGCCACCAGACTTCTTCCAGTGGGGTTACTTGAAAGAAAAAGTTTACGCTGCAATTCCTACAACTTGGGAGGACATGGTGGAGCGGATCAGGAACGCCTGTGCGGCGATACCGCCCGATACGTTGGCGCGTTGTGTGCCAGAATTCATTACCCGCATTCAAAAATGTGTTGAAATGGAATGACGACATTTCAAACATTTGTTATAAATTGTTTTCATAGCCGACTATTGTTGTTAATGTTAATTTTTGTTTTTCAAACGTTTCAAATAATACATCCCAACTAGCAAAATAAATCCCTTAAAGAACTGAATTGTTTTATAACTATCGTCTAGAGCTGCAAAAAGAACATTTTTATTGTTTAATGCGTCTTAATACAATAATTTTATCGTAAAAACGACGAAATTCTAATACATTATTGTATATATATTTTTACAACTCGTGTTATAGAACCAAACTCATACACATTTTTTAACCATTGTATAACGTTTTATACAATCCCTTATAAAATTATTTTAAAAGAGTTGTATAAAAGTTATAATAGAGTTGTATACCTATTCTTATACTTGTAGTTTCAACGTTTTATGATAGTTGTAATAGAATTTGTATAAAAGTTAAAAAATTGTTTTTTTAAGTAGAAGTAAACACACTACACAATAAGTATAAAGTTATTTTATAATTATCCTATAACTACACCGATTAACTTCTTTATAGAAAGTTTATAAAATAAAATTATCGCAAGTTCTGCGTTTCAACGATTTTAAACATTTTAATTTTAAAACTCAACGTAGAAATATTTGCCGGTATTTATCACAGATTATAAACAAAAAAATTAGTTAGGTCACATGTAGATAAAGAAGGTACCGCTAAAAAGTGAATAAAACAGAACACAATTGTATAGTGCGGTACAATGCATACCTTAAGCGATATTATTGTTCTATTGCGCAGTAGGCAAAGGCGTTATAGCCAATACGAAAAATGAACTTACAGGGTTGTTATTTTAGGCAGCAGTGTTACCTACAAATCCTTATTTGCATAAAAAATGAAGGTAACGTCGTGCAGGATAAATAAAATTTTACTTGATGTAGGTACCTAACTGCACCAAAAATGAGTATTTTATTCTAAAAAAAAACAAATAATTTGAAAAATACAGATAAAATCTGGCAACATCTCAAATGTCAGTTTCTTGCTTTACTTTTATAGCGCCTGTATTAAACAACTTTACAGAACCTAAATATCGTATA